AAATTATAAGCAGAAAGTTATGCCCAAAATACGGGAACTATATCAAAACAGGAAATTTCCCGATTTTTGTGCATACATATCAAATCCGATTTCAATGGATTCTCTCCTTCATGGCTACATCATGGAGCATCATTGCTGCATGGTCCTTCCTCTATGATTATCTTGATCAATTAAATCAAACTCCTCCTTAAAATTTCATAATTAAGCTCCAAATTACCTTGCAGGACAATTTCATCATAATTAGTGCAATACCATGCTAATTCCAAAAACATTATTACCAAAATCATCATGTTATAGGTATGAAAATATGTACAAATATAGGCTTATCAAAGTTCATCCATGACTAGTGGAAATAAGTAAGGACCAAGTGCTAACCAATTGTCATTCCAATATTTGATGTCTCTCCCAAGGAGTTCTAACGTTGGTTGTTGTACCTTCATACATATCCTTAATTAGGTCTGCATACATTTGAAGCTCCTTTTTTCCAGTACCCACCATCTCTTTAGGAACTCTATCATATGCTTTCTCAGTTTCTCTAGATCAAATGGATACTATTTGAAGATACCATTTGATAAAAATTTAATGCCATGTGTGGTTTTAGGGATTCTAAAGCGGCGCTCATATTCACCAGCTTTTTAGGATCCTGTAAAACAAGGAAGTTGTATAAAATCTAAGATCGTAGCAGCATTGCAAGGGCTAATAGATTAGCCAAAGAACAAAATTACAAGACAACAACATAGAGATTGAAGGGCATTATGCATTGGTGATTAAATGGCTACAAGAAGAGGAAAAAAATCCTGTGGCAATAGAAGGGGTGGAAGAACTTGTTGGTAGATTTACAATGTTTGTTAAATTTCAACAACTGGTAGATGGGTTTGAGTGGATTTTGACAAACATTTATGGACCCAATGGATATATATATATATATTTGTAGAGGAGACAAATAGCCTGAGGCAAAGAACTACAATAAGTATGAGAAAGTTTAATGAGTTGATTAATTCTTTTGAACTAAAAGAATTGCCTTTGTTGCATACCAATTTCACTTGGTCAAACCTTCAAAGAAACCCTATTTGCTCCAAACAAGATAGATTTTTGTTTACTGCAGATTGAGAAGAGCATTGGGGAATCCTCGTATCCAGAGCCTTGCCTAGGGTAACTTCTAACCATTGGCCTACCAAAGGAGGATTGGGTGGTTGGGGTCCAGCACCATTCAGATCTAAAAACATGTGGCTGTGTCACCCGGGATTTGTTGGAAAGATAAAGGATTGGTGGGCTGAAAGTAACCCAAGTGTGAACTGGGAAGGGATGAAATTTCATTGGAAGTTAGGGAGCTGAAATCTTAGATCAAGGAGTGGAATATTCAACAGTTTGGAAGGATTGAAGAGAAAAACTAGGAAGTGATAGATAGAATTGAGGATCTGGACAGCAAAGATAGATTTTAAGGAAGCAATTAGAAAATCTTCTATACAAGGAAGAAGTTAGGTGGAGGAAAAAAATCCATACACAAATGGGTGAAGGAAGGAGAGAAGAATGCATAATTCTTCCAAGCTATGGCAAATAGTAGAAGAAAGAAAAATTTAACCTCTAAATTAGTGGTTGATGATGTAACACTTACTCAACAATTTGAGATAGCTGGGGTGTTTGTGGACCATTTCAAATATAATTATAGGGGACCCCTAAATGGAAGAATTTGGCTAGAAGGGTTGGATTGGCCTAAGGTACCTGAGGAGCTTAAGGTGTGGCTTGAAAGGAGGTTTGAGTTGGAGGAAATAAAGAAAGCTATTTTCTCAATTGATAGAACTAAAGCACTAGGACCAGGTGGTTTTACAATGGTTTTTTACCAAAATTGTTGGGACATTTTCGAACATGACCTTCAGAGAGTCTTTAATGAATTTTTCGAGGGGGATGTGATAAACCCAAGGTTGAATTCTACCTTTATAGCTTTGGTTCCAAAGAAGAGTGGTGCTATTCAACCTAAGGAGTTCAGACCTATCAATTTGGTAAACAACCTTTACAAAATCATTGCTAAGGTGCTCTCAAGGAGAATAAGGGCTGTGTTTCCTCACCTCATTTCCCAAAATCAAGGTGCCTTTGTTAGTAATAGGAAAATAACAGATCAGATCTTAATAGCCAACGAGAGTGTGGAGGACTTGAAAAGAAGTGGGAGAAAAGGAATCATGTGTAAGTTGGATCTAGAGAAGGTTTATGACTTGGTGGATTGGTCCTTACTAAGTCTTGGAAATTTTTGGATTTGGGGCTAAATGGTGCAAGTGGATTCAAGGCTTTATAGACTCTTGCCATTACTCTATTTTAGTGAATGGAGCAGTGATAGATAATTTCCCTGCAATTAGGGGCCTTAAGCAAGGGGGCCCCCTCTCTCCATTTCTGTTTACATTAGTTGCTGAAGTTTTGGGCAGACTAATAACTAGGGTAGATTCTAGACACCTAGTGAGGGGATGCAGAGTGGGCGGAGATAGAGTTCTGATCACCCACCTGCAGTTTGTTGATGATACCATTTTGTTTTGTGAAGGTGAGGAGCTTAGATGGGTCAGGAATTTGTAATTGGTGGTACAGATCTTTGAAAAAATGTCAAACTTAAGAGTGAATTTTGAGAAAAGTTGTGTGGTGGGGATCAATATGAAGGAGAGAGAGTTGGCTAAGAGGGCAGAAATTCTAGGATGTGTAACCTCTGAGTGGCCTATAAATTATATGGGTTTGCTCTTAGGAGATAATCTAAGAAATAATAGTTTTTGGAACCTGGTGGTGGATAGGTTTGCTAAGAGGTTAGCTTTGTAGAAGAGGAATTACCTTTCCTTGGGTGGTAGAATCACTTTGATTAAAGTCTACCTTGACCAACTTGCTAATTTACTTCTCATCTGTATTTAGGATCCTGGAAGGAGTGAGCAGGGTGTTGGAAAATTTGATGAGAGATTTCTTATGGGACCGGGGGAAGAAAAAAGAGATCATAGAATTGGGTGGGAGGTGGTCACCATAATTAAGGAGATGGATGGATTGGGGATAGGAAGTATTCGAAGGAGAAATGAGGCTTTACTTAGGAAATGGTTATGGAGGCTGCCAAGGGAGGAGGATAATCCATGGACTAAGGTGATTGTGAGCATTCATGGGCAAATGGCAGATGGATGGGATGTTGGAGTTTTAGCAAGGGCTACACAAGCTTCTCCTTGGAAATCTATACATGCCATTCTTCGTTCCTTCTTGCCATTGATCAGGTATGACCTATGTTTTGGAAACCAGGTATAATTTTGGGAACATACTTGGGTGGGAGGTGTGACCTTGAAAGAACAATTCCCTTCCTTGTATTCCATCTCCATGTTTAAAAATGAGTCTGTGTCCACCTTTGTGGCACCTACAAATACATTTCTTGGCTTTGATTGGGATTTGGGTCTGAGAAGGGGCCTTAGGGATGTTGAAGTCAACCATGTTTCTGCCTTAATTCAGACCTTGGGTGGGGTGGTCTTGGAACCAGGGAGAAGGGATAGTAGACTTTGGACTCTGACCTCTTTTAGTGAGTTTTTTTGTGCTTCCTTAAGGCCTTAACACAACCCTCTAATAGCTCGGATATAGGCCTTCCAGATCTTGAACTTTGGGGCAAGCCGACTCCCCCAAGGATTGATGCTTTTTGTTGGGAAGCATTTCTGGAAGATGTAACACTTGTGACTTGCTCTAGAGGAAAAGACCTAATTGGTGCCTAACCCCTAATTGGTGCATCCTTTGTAAGGCAAATGGTGAGAGTTGCTATCACTTACTGATATCTTGCTCTCTTGTTTCATATATTTGGGAATGGTTTTTCTCTTTATTTGGTTGCAGATGGATGCCCCCGCTAGATGTACATAGCTTGTTTGCCTCTTCCTTTTTAAGTTGGCCAAAGAAGAGGGTAGAATTCTTTGGAGATGTGTTAGAGCTGCCATATGTTGGACAATGTGGCAGGAAAGAAATTCAAGGATCTTTAATGAAAAGGAGAGGAATAAGGAGGTCATTATTGAAACAATTACTATTAGAGTGGTGTGTTGGGTGAAATCTCTAGATTTGTTTGAGAATATCTCCACAGATATGATAAGAAGAAATTGAAGGAAGTGGCCAACTCAGCACTTGCTAAACCCAAGACAAGTCCCATTTGGTCTCCCCTGGCCTTTGGCTTGACTAAGATGAACTTTGATGGGAGTAGTGAAGGTAATCCGGAGCCTTCTAGAATTGGAGGAACCTTTAGGGATGAAGATGGGAAAGTCATTGCTCTATTCTCTGGCCCTACTGGTGTAGGTCATTCTCTTCGAGCTGAGATTCTGGCTGTGATGGAAGGAATAAAGAAGGCACGAGAGCTGGGCTGCTGCAAGCTCATTATTGAAGGGGATTCAAAATTGGTTATAATATGGCTGCAAGAAGAGAAGATTGGTCTTTGGAAGTTTGCTAATGAAAAAAGAATGTTCAACCAACTAGCACAAGGTGTGACGATTCAGTTTCAATGGGTAAAAAGATGTGCTAACTCTTTTGCAGGTACCCTTGCTAAGCAAGGGGTGGGAAGGGAACAACTGTTTTGGGCCATTCTGTAATTAGATTATATTTCTTTGAGGAGGGTTAAGAGAGTTTACCCCTCCCTAGTCCTTTGTACTTCTTTCTATTTTGAAAGTTTATTGAAAGTTTTGTTATTGATAAAAAAAAGTCATGATTAGATAAAAATTCTGAAAATGGATAGAGTTGTAAATGTAAAATGGAAACAAAGATCAGAAAAGGGGATTGCTTGCTGATGCTTTGGTAGAACAAGGGGTAAATCAAGGGTAGTTATTTTGGGCAGAATGGATGATGTTGTAAAAATAATCTCTCTAGTTATCTGTTTTCCCGCTATACCTTCCTACCTCAGGATTTGCTATTTCCATTTCATTACCTATTTGATGAAATTAAAATATGCTTATCTGAATATTTTGTATACTATTTTATAAATTTTGATACAGATTACTGATTGACACTTTATTTTATTGTTTTAGGCGTATTATTGACTTTGGTAGTGCAATTGATGAGTTCACCATGAAGCATCTATATGGACCGAATGGACCTTCTAGGTATGACCCATTTTCACCGTGAAATATCCATGTTTAATAAATTATTTTCTTCTTTGATAAATAGTAACTAATCCAATGCCTCAGAAAAGAAAAGTAGAAAAAGAAGCTCATACAGATGAGTTAATAATGTTTCTATAAGCTGAATGGATTTTCTAGGAGGTTGATGAGCTGAAGGAGAGGGATACATTTTTAGGAGGTTTCTTGTCAAGATTTAGGATATCCATAGATTCCTACCCATTAATGGTGGTTCATTAATGTACATTGTATTGGACAACATGTTATTCAATTTCCCTTTGGCTTTTCTGCTTTTGATTCTGTATTTTGCTTTTCTCATTATGAAATTGTACGTAAGGTAACAGAAGTTATTTTATTTAATTGTATATATACATATATATGTTCTTATTAAACCACCATGTATACTTCTTTTTTTCATTGTATTTTGTTTATTGTGTTTCAGATTTGAACAGACTTCAGAATATAGTCCTCCAGAAGCTCTTCTGAATGCTAGCTGGTTTCAGGGTGCAACAAGCATAACTATGAAGTATCTTAAGATCCCTCAAAACTTAATGGTGGAAACTGAGTGTTCTAATTTCTTAGTTCAACCATTGGCTGAATTTCATGCTTATACATGTCGAACAAATTGATAAAGTTTCTTGGTTGTTTCCAATAAACAAATAGCTATGATACACGGCAACGAATAAAGTTCTTTTTTCTTAAAAGATTATCTGTGCTCTTTGTCAGGTATGATATGTGGAGTGTGGGGGTTGTGATTTTAGAGTTGATCCTAGGATCACCTCATGTTTTCCAGTTAAGTGCTCGAACACATGCTCTTTTGGACCAGCATCTTGAGGGTTGGAATGAAGGCACAAAGGAGCTTGCTTATAAGTGAGTCCTACCTTAAGAAATGTTGTTAGTGTTATTATTTTATTTTTTGTTAGTGTGCTGTCAGCTTGTTTTCTTCTTTTAACTAGTTTATTATTAGGGTGTGCTGCCAGGGGTATAAATGTAATCTCCCATTTATTATTATCTTATATCATTATAAATAAGAAGCTGGGTGCCGCCAGCAACACTTTTTGACTCCCAAACTTTTTTCCCTCTCTCTTCTTCTCTTCTCCTCTCTCTTCTCTCCTCTCCTCTCTCCTTTCTATCTTCTCTCTCTCCAAAAAGAAAATATGGTATCAGAGCAAGGTTCTGGGCGATAGGAGTCCTTTGTCGTAGCACCAAGGTAACCCTAGAAAAAGAGAACCGATGCTGTGAAGACCCTGTTCTCTCTTTGGCTGATGCTGTGAAGGCTATTTCTTTGGATTTGCACCTTCGAACAGGTGTTGTACAGGGGCGTGCGATCCCCTTTGTCACAGGTATGTGCTGTGATGTGTTGGTATGTGTAGTGGGTAGCCCAATGAGGACTGAGATTTAAATATCTGGATTGTTTGGTTGCTGTTAGTGAGTTTCAGCAAGGTTCAAAATATTGCTACTTTGTTTTATACTTTGTTTTATTTTTTTTTTCAAAACCGGTTCAGGGGGGCCAGTTTAATGCTCCTCCACCCCCTGAACCAGTCAGAACCCCGATACACCCCCTGTAGGGGCATATCAGGGATGTCCCAAAACGATACTGATCGGCCGATACGTGTTGATACTTTGAACCTTGAGTTTCAGCAGTATTTTATTATTTCTTTCTGGACTATTTGATTGTTCCTGGACTGTTTAGTTGCTGATGTGCATTTCAGTGGTGTTTGGTTTGGTGTTTAGTGTGAACTGAATTCAGATCTAGGAGAAAGCAGAATTACGGGTGTCCAGAATAGTCAACCCCCACCCCAAAGAGCCTCTTTTATATTAAAGAGATAAAACGTATGTACAGTTACAAGAATGCCCTTACAGGGCCGAAAAATAAAAAGAACAAATAAAATAATAAGAACTATGATACTATACAACAAGGACTACTCTAGTAATGTACATCAAGATATATCTTCACACTCCCCCCCCAAACTGATGTGTAGACATCAGCATCAGTTTGCCCATAAGAATGAGATGTCGACTCTTAGTCATGGCCTTTGTGAAGATGTCAGCAATCTGCATGTGAGAGGCAACATGAGGAAGAGATATAGAGCCTGCAACAAGGAGGTCTCTAATAAAGTGACAATCCACCTCGATATGTTTAGTCCTTTCATGAAAGATTGGATTAGACGCGATCTTGATAGCGCTGGTGTTGTCGGCATATAGAGGGATAGGAGTAGGAAGAGAAATCCCAAGATCAATGAAAAGTGACTTCAGCCAAACAATCTCTTTACATGCAGAAGACATAGCTCTATACTTGGCTTCAGTGGAAGACTTAGAGACAGTTTGCTGTTTCTTGCACTTCCAAGAGATGAGAGAGTCACCCATGAAGATGCACCACCCAGTAGTGGATCGGCGAGTGTCAGGACAACCAGCCCAATCAGCATCAACATAAACCCTGAACTGTATGGATGATGAAGAAGAGAAAAACAGTCCCTGAGAGGTTGTGTCTCGAACATAAAGGATGACGCGGCGAACTACAGTCATATGTGGTTGTCTTGGGGCAGAGACAAATTGACTGACGACTTGAACAACATGTGAAATATCAGGCCTAGTCATAGTAAGATAGATCAAAGAGCCAACAAGCTGACAATACAGGGTGGCATCAGGAAGGATGAGGCCTTCGGATTTGGATAGCTTGACATTCAGCTCTAGGGGGATATCAACATGTTTCTCATCAGTGATTCCAGCTAGTTTGACAAGATCARAGGCGTATTTTTGTTGACAAATAAATCACCCTCGACTGCTACGATGAACCTCTAAACCCAAGAAGTAAGTGAGAGGACCCAGGTCCTTCATATGAAATGAGTTATGAAGTAAGGACTTCAGCTCACAAATGTTGTCATAGTCATCCCCCATTAGGAGCATGTCATCAACATATAATAGAAGAATAGTAATACCCTGGGGTCTTCTCTCAACAAAGAGGGAGTAGTCAGAGGAACTCTGATTATACCTAGCTGCAACAACAACATCCCGGAAGTGCTCAAACCAAGCCCTGGGTGCTTGCTTCAGGCCATATAAGGACTTCTTCAGGCGACAGACACGTGAAGGATCACTGCAATATCCAGGTGGAGGTTTCATGTAGACTGTCTCCTTTAATTCACCATGAAGGAACACATTCTTCACATCTAATTGATAAATAGTCCAGGAATAAATAGAAGAAATGGCCATAAGAGTTCGAACTGTGGTGATCTTAGCGACTGGGGAAAATGTTTCTTCATAATCAATCCCATATTCCTGACTGTATCCTTGGGCAACTAACCGGGCCTTATATCGATCAAGAGAGCCATCTGATTTCAGTTTGATCGTATAGGCCCAACGGCTTCCAACAATAGAAGCATCTGGAGGAGCTGGCACAAGATCCCAAGTGTCATTCTCATGGAGGGCTTGAATTTCGGCATCCATAACTTCTTTCCACTGAGAACTTCTAATGGCTTGCTAATAAGATCTAGGGATATCTGTGGAAGAAAGTACAACAGAAAAGGAACTATGGTTTGAAGGAAAACCATAGCGGTTAGGAGGTCTAGAGATACGGGTAGAACGACGAAGTGGAATAACTGAACTACTATCTGAAATAGGAGGATCTTGGGTCAAGGTATCACTTATAGAGGATATCTGAGATGAATGCTCTGGACAAGGTGGAAGGGGGGTTGTAGGCGTAGGAGCCGGGACATGTAGCCGCTTGCAGGTGAAGACAAGAAGATCTCTCTCGGTTGAGGAAGTAGTAGTGTCATTTGAATCAAAGTCCTGCAAAACAGAGATGGAAGGAGCAGACAATCTAGCAACCCCAGCAAAGAAGGAGATATGTTCAAGAAACACAACATTCCGAGAAATCCGAATACGACGAATAGCAGGATCATAACACAAAAATCCTTTGTGGTCAGGACTATATCCCACAAAGGCACACATAGCAGACTGAGCAGTTAATTTAGATCGTTCACGAACAGGAAGATGAACAAAACAAAGACATCCAAAAACATGAAGGCTAGAGAAATCTAGGGATAACCAAAAAGTTTTTGGAAGGGAGAGGTGTTGCCTAGAATAGAGGATGGAAGAAAATTGATCAAATACACGGCTGTACTGGCTGCTTCTACCCAAAACGAAGTTGGAGTATGAGACTCCTGTAGTAATGTCCGCACAACACTGAGAACGTGTTCGTTCTTCCATTCAGCTACACCATTCTATTGTGGAGTTTCTGGGCAGCTGCGCTGAGATTGAATTCCATGACTCCTCAAATATGGCAAGAAGTCTCCATCTCTATATTCTCCCCCTGAATCTGAGCGGTGGATAGTCACACTACACTTGAATCGATTTTGCACCATAGTATGAAACAATTTAAATGCACCAAAGACTTATGATTGTGTTGCAGAAAATAAATCCAAGTATATCTGGTATAATCATCTATAAATAATACGAAATATCTATACCCCAATCGTGAAGTAATAGAAGCAGACCAAACATCACTATGTATAATCTCAAAAGGTTTAGTGGCATGTTCAGATTTATGAAGAAATGATAAAACATGACTTTTACTCAAACAACACGTAGTGCAAGAAACATCAAAAGTATCAACAGGAGGAATTTTATTCTTAATCAAACCAGAGTGTTCAACTGAGGGGGAGCAACAGGTGGCATTGGCTGCAATGGGTAGTAACAATATGGGAAAGAAAAATGACTCCAAGAAGGTTGATGATAAGGACAAGTTGTTTTGTACCCACTGCTGGTGTTCAAGACATACACGTGACACATGTTGGGAGATCCATGGGAGGCCAAAGTGGGCTGTGAAAAATCAAGAACAGGGTAAAATGCAGGGTCAGAAGAAGCCGAATATAGCACATAATGCAGCAAATGTGGCAACCCAAGATACTCAGACTGCTGGTACTACTCAGGACCACTTCACTGGTTTTGACCCTAAGGAAGATATCATGAATTCCTTCCGAAATCATTTGGAGTCATATGGTAGGGCTTTGCGCCAGATGGATAGTTTAGTTACTGGTACTCCTTCTACTTCATTTGCATCTACATCAGGTAATGCGTCCTCTGCCTTCCATGTCACCACTACCACTAATTCCCCTTGGATCATTGGCTTAGGGGCCTCTAACCACATGACCGATAAGCCAAATCTTTTTCAAACTTATAGCCTTTTGTCAGGAAGGGATAAAGTGAGGCTTGTAGATGGATCATTCTCCTTCATTGCAAGCCAGGAATCAACATCCCTTCCTCATGGCCTTAACCTGAATAATGTGTTACATGTTCCTCAACTTCCTATCAATTTGCTTTCCATTAGTAGTATCACAAGCTCTTTAAACTGTAGTGTAGCCTTTTTCTCCTAGTTCATGTGCTTTTCAGGATCTAACTTCTAGGAAGATGATTGGTAGAGGAAGCTTAGTGGATAGTCTCTACATTCTTGACAACAAGGTTGGTCTCTCAGTGTCATCCTCAGAGTCGTACGGTCAGTCAAATAAGAGTCAAATTTTTTTTGTGGCATAGTCGGTTGGGTCATGTTTCATTTGAAATAGTGAAGTCTTTGTTTCCTTTTTTATTTAAGTCATGTTCAGTGTCAGATTTCCAATGTCAAACGTGTCAGTTGAGTAAAAAATGTAGAACAACATTTCATTCAAGTAATAAAAGATCAAGTTTTCCTTTCCATATTGTGTACTCTGATGTATGGGGGCATACTACTATAACCTCTGAGGGTGGGTATAAGTACTTTATCACATTGATTGATGATTTCTCCCGCTATACATGGGTATTTACCATGTGTACCAGAGACGAAGTTCCAAAGATTGTAAAAGACTTCTAGAGGATGGTGTTTACACAGTTTCATATTGAAATCCAGATCTTTTAATCCAATTATGCAAAGGAATATTTCCATGGTGAGCTCAATGAGTTCTTTGCCTCTCATGGATCTTTTCATAGGAGCTCATGTGCAAGAACATTACAACAAAATGGTGTTGCAAAAAGAAAGAACAGACACCTCCTTGAGGTAGCACGAGGGGTGATGTTACACATGAATGTACCAAAAAGATTTGGATGGATGTTATACTTGTAGCTACTTATGTCATCAATTGCATGCCCTCCAAAGTGTTAAGCTACATGGCCCCTCATCAGTTGTTGTTCCCCCAGTCTCCTTTATTTTCCATTCCCATGAGAGTGTTTGGTTGTCGTGCCTTTGTCCATGATTTGTCTCCGCCTCGTGGTAAGTTAGACCCTCGATCTATTCCATGTATCTTTTTGGGGTATCCCTCCTCTCAAAAGGGTTACCGGTGCTTTGATCACATTAGTCATAAGTTTTTTGTCTTTATGGATGTTTCCTTCTTTGAGTCTGAACCGTTCTTCCCTACTTCTCCTCAGGGGGAGAGTAGTGTGGAAGAGGAGAAGTAGGTCCAAGCCCGTCAAGTCTCTTTTCCTTCTATTCCGGACCCTACTCCTTTTCATGTCTTCCAACATAAACGCCGTAGAGATCAGCAATGTGACAAAGATGTGGAGCCACTGAACATTAAGCAACCGACACCTTCAAACTCCCAGGAGGTAAGTCCAAATGAACTAGGCCCTAGTGCACCTATTGATACCCTTGCTCCCATTTTGGTTGTGGATGACCTTGATATTCCTATTGCTCAAAGAAAGGCAGTTAGGTCATGCACTACCAAACACCCCATTACCCAATATGTTTCCTATGATCACATTTCCCCCTCGTACTAAGCCTTCCTATCTGCAGTTGATTGCATCCCCGTACCTAGAAATGTTGTAGAGGCCTTAAAATAACCTGAACAAACAGATGCTATTAATGCCCTCCATAAAAACCAGACTTGGGAGTTGGTGGATCTTCCAAGGGGGAAAGACCCAGTGGGGTGTAAATGGGTGTTTACAGTTAAACACGAGGCGGATGGGACAATTGAAAGGTACAAAGCAAGATTAGTAGCAAAAGGGTACACTCAAATATATGGGGTTGACTATGATGAAACATTTACTCTAGTAGCTAAGATGAACTCAATTTGAGTTCTTCTATCATTGGCTGCTAACCTTGACTGTGAATTGCATCAACTGGACATAAAGAATGCCTTTTTAAATGGTGACCTGGAGGAGGTGTACATGGTTCAACCCCCAAGATTCTGTGCCAAGGGAAGTGAAAATAAGGTGTGCAAGCTGAGAAAGTTTCTTTATGGTTTAAAACAATCTCCCAGGGCTTGGTTTAGTAAGTTTCATATGGCAGTCCAGCAAGTAGGATTCAAGCAATGTTAGTCTGATGACACTCTCTTTGTGAAGAGATGTCAGGAACAAGTTGTTGTGTTGATAGTATATGTGAATGATATCATCATTACAGGAAATTGGAGCTCAGAAATACAAAAGTTGAACCAATTCCTAGCATCTCAATTTGAGGTGAAAGACCTAGGTCCATTAAAGTACTTTCTTGGAATTGAAGTTGCTCGCTCAAAAAGGGGCATCTTCATTTCTCAGAGGAAGTACACCCTTGATCTGTTACAAGACACAGGCAAGTTAAGTGCAAAGCCAGCAGATACTCCTATGTATGTTGACCATAAATTGGGTGACTGTGATGGTGAACCTCTAGAAGATGTGAAACAGTTCCAAAGGTTAGTAGGAAGGTTGCTTTATTTGTCCATGACCCGTCCAAACATTTCTTATTCAGTTGGAGTTCTGAGTCAATTCATGCATTCCCCTAAGAAACCACACATGGGGGCAGCAGAGAGGATTCGTAGGTATTTGAAAAAGTATCCATGAACAGGTCTGGTATTTAGTAAACATAATCATTTGAAGGTGGAAGTCTATACGGATGTTGATTGGGCAGGTGTTGTGGATGACAAAAAGTCCACAAGTGGGTACTGCACATTTGTGGGAGGAAATCAAGTGACATGGAGAAGCAAAAAACAAAGTGTGGTAGCAAGGTCAAGTGCTGAAGTGGAGTATAGGGCTATGGAACATGGGGTGGCTGAAGTACTTTGGCTAAAAAATCTTCTAGGGGAGCTTGGAGTTACTGTTCATAATCCTATGTCTCTCTACTGTGACAACAAGGCAGCCATAAGCATTGCCATCAATCCTGTCCTGCACAAGAGGACCAAGCACATTGAAGTGGACAAACACTTCATAAGGGAAAAATTGGAAAAGGGAGAAACTTGTATTCCTTATGTCAACTCCAAGGAGCAACTAGTTGATGTCCTTACAAAGGGGCTTCCATACCTGTGGCACAATGAGTTGTGTGACAAGTTGGGCATGATAGACATATTCAGCCCAACTTGGGGGGGAGTGTTGTTAGTGTTATTATTTTATCTTTGCTGTTAGTGTGCTTTCGGCTTGTTCTTTTCTTCTTTTAATTAGTTTATTATTAGGGTGTGCCGCTAGGGGTATAAATGTAATCTCCCATTTATTATTATGCTTTATCATTATAAATAAGAAGCTGGGTGCCGCCAGCAACACTTTTTGACTCCTAAACTTTTTTCCCTCTCTCTTCTTCTCTTCTTCTCTTCTCTTCCCTCTTCTCTCCTCTCCTCTCTCCTTTCTCTCTTTTCTCTCTCTCCAAGAAAGAGAAAAAGAAACATGAAGGCATTTACTAGTTAATGGTCATCAACCTTTTGATTTTCATAAATGGATTAAAACAAAACAAATATTGATATTTTGATGTATTTTTTTATCACATATATACACAAGGAGTTCTGTGTAGAAAAGTTCAACATGAAAACCTATAAGGTAAATAAGGTTCTTTTTATCTGTAAAAAGTTCAACCTTCTCTGTTTCTTCTCATCTCTACAAGTTTTTTAAGGTTCTTTTTATTTGTTGATTATTCCTAGAGCTTCCTTGCAATCACAACGATGCTGTGATTTTGCTTTTTTTTTTTTTTTTGAGATTGATTTCACTTTTTGTGCATCCATAAAATATTAAAGGAGTGTGATTTGGTCACATCATAACAATAAGAATAAATATATATTAGAAACAGATAATAAATACCATCATGTTTTGTTTTGAGTTCTATCATTATAACGAATATTTTCTCTATCTTTTAATTAGGTCTGTTCTCATATCATCCCTAATACTGAAATGTAGTAGGCTCTCAATATTCAAAATTATAAACATTAATATTTGTACTTTCTCATATAGTAACTAAACTCTTAAATAATATCTTTGGATAAATTTTTCTGACCAAAATATTCTGAAATTACTTTAAGATCAATAAGATCACTTGTATCCATGGGGGTGCAAACTCTACTATGAATGAGCACATTGATCCTGATGTTAAAAATGTGGTCAAGCTATAATTTTTGAGTTTTGGGTTTGTGTGCCTTACACTATAGATTTTCCTTGAGAACAACTTTTTTTTAAATTTCTTCTGAGAGAGTGTTATTGGTGATAAAATAATTGGAATATTCATGTATATGGTGCCAGATTGAGGTCTTTCATGGAAATGTGCATCTTGATTCCAGGGAGTTCCTTAAAACATCACCGAAGTCGCAATAAGAAAGACCTTGTGAGTTTATAAATCCTTCTTTTTCTTTTTTCTCCTCTCTCTCTCTCTCTTTCTCTTTTTGGAGGCTGGTTTCTTATGTTCTATACCTTCTTAGTGATGGATCTAAAAGATTTTAACTTCTATGTTTAACCTGGGGTGGTTATGGGCCACCCAGCTGGCCCAATCCAGTTCAGATTTAGGGCTGCGCATTGACATAAAAAGAAAAGGTCTGGCCTGGATCTTTTCTAGCCCTGGTCAAAAGTCTAGCCAGGATGGGCTAGGCCTGCAAACTAGCAGTTTGGCCCAGCCCAAGGCCGTCATATGGTCATATATATTTTTGTGTTATAATTTTTACTATGCAACTTATCATCATCATCTAAGCCTTGTCCCAACTGTATGGGTTCAGCTACATGAATCCTGTTTTGCCATTCCATTCTGTCCACTGCCATATCCATCATTAAATTATGGATGCTTAAATAATTTCTTACTACTTCCACCCAAGTCCTTTTCGGTCTAGCCCTAGCTCTTCTAGCCCCTTCAACTTATAACAGATCACTTATTCTAACGGGTTCTGTAGATGATTGTCTATACCTATGACCTAACCACCTCAGTCTACTCTCATTTTATCTCCTCAGTCTACTATGCAACTTTGTATACATAATTGCATGCTAATTTTTTACTGCAAGGTTCTTTATGTATATGATTATGTGTTAATACCTTGGTGCATTCAGCCTTCCATTCTACGAGCCTAGGACTAAATATTTTCCATTGCACCATGTTATTCAAGTAACAAGAGGAATTATAGTTGTAATGACATGACTTTCTATCATTTTTTTCTCATTCTTTTCTTCATCTCTTTGTTTTGTGGATAAGGTTGTTTCTTCAACTCTTTTGATGCTAATTTACAACATTTAGTGCTGCCCAAAAATTATAGCAGAAGGTTGTCTTTATAAATGTTGTACTTCTCTTTTCTTATAGGTAAAGTGTTTATTAGTTTGCAATTATATATAAATATGAAGACCATAGTTAGGATAAGGCATGGACGATGATGAATGATTATGACATGTTGAATCCAAGTTAGTTTACCTAAATCAATCAACAGCCTCCCACAAATATATGAAGGCACATTGCCATCCCCTATAACATAAACAGAGGATACGAAGCATTCAAAATCAAAAGTAAGTAAACAAAAAAGAAAGAAAGAAAGAAAGAAAAACACATAAGAAACATCCCAAAGAAAAGGGCTTCAATGACCCATCATCAATATTAACCCAATTTGAGAACCTTTCCTTTGAATCTGCCCATGATTTGCAATCTTCCTTCCTCACTCTAATTTTCCATGACAATCATCATATTTTTCATTTGCTCCCAATCCATGCACGCATACACTAGGAAGGTCTTTTAAGATTGCCAGCAAAACCAAGGGTTCAACTTATCCTTATTTCTGATCATTGAAGTAATGGTTAGAAGAGAGATTATTAATGTTACAACTTGTAGTTGTGAGAAGGCATAGGCACCCTTTTCTTAATGTGCTTGAAATGTGGCTTCTTGCTGTTGGACTCCCATGGTGGCTTATGAATCCATTTGAAGGGAATAAATCACAAAGGTAGGTTATAGTTCTGGTGGAGAAATGTCCCTTAATCTAAATACTTGGATACCACTACACGCCTTGTATATGGTGTCAGATTTAATACATATCTGATACAGCACCAAGTAAGTTGTCGAGTGTAGGAAGAGGGAAGAAAGAAAGAAGAAGAAGAGGAAGAAGAAGAGTTACAAGAGAGAATAGGGTGTTACTGTTCACACCCAAAATATTCCATTATATGTTAAATCTGAAATTACAGTCATGCCCTTTAAGGGCGCCCAAATACAAAAATTAGGAAAAGACAACAATACCCTTAAAGCCAAATACACATTCTCAACACTCCCTCTCAAGCTAAGCATATATATCTATCATGCCCAGCTTGCTCAAGTTTCTATCAAGTTTTGGCTTGTTGAGACCCTTAGTGAGGCAATCAGCAAGTTGGTTCTCTAACCTAACAAAAGGCACACATATCTCTCCATTAGCTATCTTTTCTCTAATGAAGTGTCTGTCAACTTCAGTATGCTTTGTGTGGTCATGTTGAATAGGGTTATGAGCAATGTTTATGGCAGCTTGATTAACACAGTGTAGCATCATTGGGGTTTCAGCTTGGATCCCAATTTCTGATAACAAAGACTTCAACCATAGCAACTCCGATACAGTATACACCATGAGCCATAGCTCTATATTCAGCTTCAGCACTAGATCGGCCAACAATAGATTGTTTTTTGCTTTTCCAAGACAAAACATTACCTCCTACCAAGGTGCAGTAACCGGAGGTGGGTCTTCTATCATCTATAGAACCTGCTCAATCAGCATTAGTATAAGTCTCAACCTTGAGATGTCCCTGGTTAGAGTATAGCATTCCTTTACCTGGACACCCCTTTAGGTAGGTGAGAATCCTGTTGATAGCCTGCATATGTGAAGTTCTAGGACTGTGCATATACTGACTCACCATGCTAAAAGCACAGGTTATATCAGGTCTAGTCAGGCACAGGTAAAGAAGCCGGCCAACAAGCCTCTGGTAGACACCCCTGTCTGGAAGAATATCTTCATCATCAGCACTCAGTTTATGATTGGAGTCAATAGGAGTTTCAATTGGCTTACACCCTAGTTTCCCAACCTCATGAAGGAGATCCAGGACATACTTCCTCTGTGAAATGAAAATCCCTCCCTTTGACCTTGCAACTTCGATTCCAAGAAAGTATTTGAGATTCCCAAGATTTTTTATTTCAAATTCAGAAGCAAGGAATGAGTTTAGTTGGTTTATCCCAGAGTGATCATCTCCATGACAACAGTTGAAAAACAGCCCACTTGATGTGTGGAACTGTTTGAGATTAGATGCAAACCAGAAAAGAGAACAAACAAGAGAAGTAGAGAAGAAAGAGCTGGCGGCAATGAGTGTTAGAGAGTAAGAGGTTCAAACATTACCTCTCTCTAACACTCTAAACATCTTATTAATAAGTTAATCTTTAACAAATTACAGAGAGGCCCTTGAGA